CCGGCGTCAACCATATGTTTTAAAATAAACATAAAATTTTTATCAACGGCCAATGCGCGAAAATATTTAAATTAAAGAAAACAATATTTTTATTTAAATAAAATAAAAATATTGTTTTCTTAAGATAAATGTAAGATATTGTCTCGTTTCCGAGTTCTTTTAATTCGAAAAGTAGCTTTATTTATTTTACGTATTTATCACATCGTTGCTATTAAATATTTAAAAAAATATTTAAAATTTTCATGTATGCAAACTTCACTTGCTGATCTGCTCATTATTAAAGCTTTATCACTTAATATTTATAGGTACCTATTAATTTAAATATGGGAGTAGAGTCGCGTACCCTATTGACATAATGAATGCAATTAAAATGTTTACAATCAAAATTATGAGTAATATAAAATTACAATAACAAATACAACCCAAGTCTCATCATAATAAATACAATAAAGCATAAAATGTCGCAAAAAATAATAATAACAATACTAGCACCTTATAGTTTGTCAAAAAAAAGTGATTACAATTAATTCTAAAATTTCATGAAAAATTTTAAAACATTGGGTTAGATTACGTTACTTTTTAAAAAAAAATTATGATGCAATCGTATTAGGTATTCCAAAATAAAAAAAAAATGCAATATCATGTTGCATTCAAAGCGCTTGCCCCGTTATTTATGTAAAGGCAATCTGACCCCAGGGTAATTTGATCGATCGTTGTCTACGGTGCTCCCTAAAGCCTCATCGACTAATGGGAGTCAGACTATTTTCCTTGGGGAAAACATTAAACGAATAATTAAATTTTCTTAAAAGCAATTAGCTTTTAAGAACATTTAGATCTGAAAATGCAATTACTAGTTTCAGTTTTTAGCATTGCATCATATTGACGCAAGCTTCATCGGATTACCTTTAAGTGCCCAAAAACGTCTGGCATAGGCTAAAATTAAAGATCAAACGAACTTCAGAGTGAAGTTCGATCGTAATTATGTGAACAGCTTCATTCTCTGCGATTTAAGTTTAACAAAGTGTAGTAACGGTCCCCTGCTACCAGCCTTGCACGGTATTTGACAGTAAGTACCCTATTTTTTTTTTTTTGTGTGGGTGCCCATGTCTACCCCGGCTCTGAAGTCGAGATTTTAGTCATTCCGTTTAAAGATCTATGAGCAGATTGGTTTTTAGGTTTATTCATTTCACAGCTTTAGGGTCAGGGAAATATAAGTTTTTATTAAATATCTTTCCATTAATAGGGCGGGTAATAATAAATCGCTTCGAATGAAGCTGTTCACATAATTACGATCGAACTTCACTCTGAAGTTCGTTTGATTTTTAATTATGTTTCACAGCCTCATTCTCTGCGATTTAAGTTTAACAAAGTGTAGGATGTTAAGAGCTTTTTTGCTTTGAAATGAACGTAAAACACCAATATGAACAACTGTATAAGTTTGATTAATTTGGGAATAAATTGAAAAATTATGCACGAAATCCAAATTTTATTAATTAATTATGTATCACAAGAACTTAGTAGTGATTGGGCAAATACGTTACTATTACAAATTTCCTTATTATAGAATCGAGCAAATACTGAGGATGATTTTGACCATCCTGCAGTCTTTTTAATCACATCAATATTAACACCTAATTTATATGCCTTTGACGTGGCTGCATGTCATGTACTGTGGGCACTGAAAATTGATGTATTTATTCCACTGTCTTTCAAAGTATCCTTAATCCAGTGGCTCATTTTTTGGGAGGAAACATTTGAATATGGCTTTTTGAAGCTAATAAATAATTTGTCATTGTTAGTTAATGTATTTGTTTTATTTATATACGCTCGTAAGCATCTAGCAGGACAAATTTCTGGACGTATGTTATAATAAGGTAGTCTTAAAAGAGGTTGAAAAGAATTCAATTTTGATGTTTTTATGTAATCAGGTATTTTAATTATAATTTCTGTAAGATTTATAAAAATGTTTGGGATCCTAATTAATGAAAGAGTCTGTACACGGTGTGCAGTCACAAGGGCCAATAAAGTTACAGCTTTCTTAGAGAGAGTTTTCACGTCAAGTTCTTCATTAGGCCATTTTGTGGATAAAAAGTTCAGCACAACTCCTGGGTCCCAGGTAATGTTGTACTTAGGATTAGTTGGCCTTAACCTGAAAACACCCTTCATAAAGCGTTTTATTCTATCATCTTCTGACTTATTTCCCAATAATAATGACAAAGCCGATCGGTAAGAGTTAATGGTACCATATTTTGCACCTTTATCGTAAATTTCTGTTAAGAAATGTATGATCACAGGAATTCAAGATTGTGTATAATCATAGTTATAAGTTTTGCAATAATTAATCCATGCTTTTATGCATCCATCGTATTGTCGGTACGTATTATCAGACAAGGATGCCAGCATAATGTTTACCGACTTCGTTGATAAGTGTCTTCTTAGTAACGCTTGCCGGACAACTTCGCGGCAATCAATGTTAGGGTTTGGTGAAGACTGTGTACTGACCTGAAATGAGATTTCAGCAAGTTTACATTTGGTTCAAAGTATATAATATCACTATATAATCTTTTAAACAATGGAAACCATGGTTGTGTTGGCCAATGTGGTACCACTACAATACCTTCAGCATTGTCACTTATTATTTTTTGAAGTGTTTTTAATACCATTGAAAATGGTGGAAAAGCGTAAAATTGTAGATTCTTCCACGAAATGGTAAAAGCATCCACCGCCCATGCATCTGGGTCACTTTTCCAAGAGACATATTGAGAACATTTACAATTACATCTGTTAGCAAATAAATCTATTTTGGGGGTTCCGAATTTTTTCTTCCCATTCAGTATCGTGAATCTTCTTTCGTGAAAGAAAATCTGCTTCAATATTATCTCTTGAATTTATATATGAGGCGAAAATAATAATACTACGATTTTCACACCATTTCCAAATTTCTCTTGTTATGTCATTGAAGTATGGATATTGTACACTACCCATTCTATTTATACAGGCTATTGCTGTTATATTATCAATACGTAATAGAATTTCGGTATCATAACAGTCGCTCGCAAATACTTTTAGTCCGCAAAAAGCTGCTTTAAGTTCCAATAAGTTAATGTGTAATAATTTTTCATCATCTTTCCAATAACCATAAGATTCTCTTTTTTCACAAAATGCACCCCAACCGGTAGAAGAGGCATCAGAATAAATTTCTCTTGTGTATTGACCACACTTAATGGAACGATAACCAATATCTGTATTTTTCATCCACCAATCAAAATCATTGTGTAAATAAGGGGGTAAAGTTATTATCTGATCGTAATTAGGGTTACTTATTCAATTTGATAATTTAAACTGTTCAAACAATTTAGTGTACATCCAGGCATATTGTATGGCTGGGCATGCGGATACTAAAAGGCCAATTAATCTCGCAAATTCTCTTAATTTACACTTATTTTTGCTTCGTTATTGTTGAATATTATTTTTAATTTTTATTACTTTATCTGGGGGTAGTTTTATAGTCATTTTATGTGAGTCGAAGATGAAACCAAGGAATTTACATTGTGTATTCGGAATAAAGCAGCTTTTTTTGTTCGTTTATTATAAAACCTAAATTGGTTAGAAACTTTTTTGTCATTATTATGTTCTTTTCACATTCATTGTAATCTTTTCCGATACATAAAATATCATCTAAATAAATTACAGACATAAGATTATTACTTCTCAATCGTTCCATTACTGGTTTTAGCAACTTTGTAAAAACATATGGGGCAGTGCATAAACCAAATGAGAGGCAATTAAATTCGTACAAAACATTATTGTATTTAAAACGCAAATATTTTCTGTAGGATTTTTCCACATTAACAAAAAAGTAACTATCTTTTAAATCGATTGAAGCCATATAGCACTGTCGAGATATTAATTTAATAGCTGTTCTATAATCCTCCATCTTAAAATGATTCACATTTACAAACTTATTCAATAATTTTAAATTAAGTATAAAGCGTTTTTCACCATTTGGCTTCGGAATTAGGAATATAGAGGATAGAAATTCGCCGGGTTCATGTGAACATATCGAAATCGCGTTAATTTTCAAAAGTTTATTTATAACCTGCAGGTATTCATTATGCTCTTTTTGTGTCTTAGGGAAGATTTGTGGATTATTTATACGATATGGCGTAGATGTAAAAGGTATTTTATAGCCTAGTATCCACGATAAAATTGTTGGGTCTTTTGTTATTTGACACCAACGATGATAATAATTTTGTAATCGACCAGCGTAACTTACCTGGTGATCTACTACTTCTGTTGTGTGTGGCGGGTCGGTGAGCGGTCGCTGGTCCGCGGCCGAGAGCGTGGATTGTTGCGTGGCGGTGCTCGGATCAGAGGCGGTGCCGTCGGGCGTTGACGAGTACCCTCTATTCGGTTCGGAATTTTCCGATGTTGGCCTTTAAAAGTTTAAATAACTTTTTGGATAATTCTTATACCCAAAACTTGTATTTGGTTTATCTTTTGAAGTGCTTCGCCTGTTTTCTGCACGTTCTTCGCGACTTTCAACTTTTCTGTCACATCTTCCCCGAATAAATACTTATCCCGCGTGGTTTCTGCAAGCGAGTCTCGTAACCCAACGTTTATACCACTTAAGACTATATTTCTTTGGGTTTTAGTCTCGGCATTGTGACTGTCGCAAAGAATACGACAGGCGTCGCATAATGGCTGCAAAAGCTTTTGCTTACAAGTTTCATTGGATATTATCATCTCCAATACTTGCGCTAAGGCGGATAAAGCAATCCCAATTTGAGCTTGTTTTTGAAACATTGTAGAGTCCCTTTTAGCCAGAATTTCTGGTATTGCCGCTTTGGCTTCTGGATTTAATATTGGTGCTTGTAAATGCGTACAATTTGCGGGTATTAAGTATTGCCCTATAATTTTATCTTTTATTTCCTTAGATAAGCCATTCTTTAAGATTTCCTGCCACCTAGTGGCAATATCTTTATGAATGTTTTTGCCTAGAGCGATATCGGGAGCAGGAGCGTCCCCAATATCTGTAAGATGTCTTCGTCAAGCGGTTCGCCAGAATTGTTTTCAACGCTAGCAGATGACTCTGTTACAATATCTTCAGCCGAAGAAGGCCCAGGTATTGGATCGCTCTGAAATGATTGTCCTGGTGGAGTTTCCGGAAGAGGCGACAGCACATCTAACAACTCTAAATGCTCCGTGTGTATTTCATTTATTATTGGCGAAACTCGCCCGGTTTCGGCATCGGGTATATCGCCAACGACGTTCCCATCTGTTTAAAGTACAGGTTGTATTAATAAACGTTGAAACTCAACGTGTACACACAACGTGTGTTATAAAGTCAACGACAGGCCACTTTTTTGTATAAGATATATAAGTATCTTACTTTAAACTTACCATTAGTTTCTTCGTCTGACGATGATGAAATAATCCGGCGTCTGGAACCCCTCAGCCTCTCTTCCAACTTTCGTATTTTTCTTCTAATATTATTCTCCCGCTTACACGAGCCACTCCTTTTACCCATTTTAACCAACTCACTTCACCTTTTGTAAGACGTGCGAAGGCTACGGCACGGAAACGCAGAATGACTAAAATCTCGACTTCAGAGCCGGCGTAGACATGGGTACCCACACAAAAAAAAAAAAAAAAGAATAGGGTACTTACTGTCAAATACCGTGCAAGGCTGGTAGCAGGGGACCGCTACTACACTTTGTTAAACTTAAATCGCAGAGAATGAAGCTGTGAAACATAATAGCTATTGTGATAGTAAATTCTCTGCACATTATATAAAAATATCTTATCCTCTAATCTATTATCCTCACACTCGGTACCTCTTGCTTGCTAGTGTAACTATATATTTATATTAAAGTGTAAAAGTTATAACTAATTTTCTTTCAATATTTTTCGAAACAACTGTATTCCGTTATTTTGGATTGCAATGTTTTTCCACATTTTTGTTGCAAAGTTGGCCTTAACTAAACTGCCATGTGGTGCAAGTTTGAGTCAAAAATTTCTGTATGTTCCATAATATTAAATTGTTGGCGTAGCGCCAATTCAACGATGTACGGGAAATATCTTTCAACAGAATTCGTTGCATATTTAAAATATGTTATTCAATATACCTAAAACATACAATTTTCCATGTTTGTATCTTTTAAATATTAATTGTATCTTTTATATATTAATCTAATTTCAACGATTTCAAAGATGTTTCGAAAAAGTCTCAATAAAGCTTAAATTTAAAAATTCGGAATGTAGCCCGTGAATGTAAGAAAACACATTAAGCAAAATTATAAATATCACCTTGCACTTTACGGTCATTATCTGTGAAACCCAGCATAGTTCTACTTTAGTAAAAATCGTCACCGAAAACATTATTTTCAATTATAGAAACGCCTCATCTGTACTGTGTAGCTCATCTAATGTGAAGACTAGAAAAAATTTCGTTTTTAAATTTAAATTTAACGCATTTATTATACGAAGCTATTTGCAGCAATAATATTAAATGGAAGATTTATAATTAAAATTATGTGAGCAGCTTGCTCCTTTGTGATGTGCGACTTTAATAACAAAAATTTAATTTGGAAAAAACAAAATAACTGTCACATTTATAATATAAATTAGATCAAAATGATAAAGCTCTGGATACCTCCTACAAAAAACAATAAATGTTTTATTCAATAATGATATAATAAAAATAAATATAAAGTGAAAAATTAATATAAAGAGAGGAAATTGCTTTGAATTTAAAGTCTATTTCTAAAAACCTATCATTTACGGCGGCGGAAATAAAGTGAAATTAGGTGCTTCCATAAAAAATATTCATAATAAATCCTACATATATACATTAAAAGGTATAACATATAGAGGATAACTTTTTAAAATAGTATTAAAAATTTACACTCTTTAAACATCAATATTTACCGAGTTATTTAAATTTCCAAAACAAACAATTTTAGAACAGCCTTAAGTATAAAACTGTAACGTAAAGTTCATTTGTAAAGGTCACAAAGCATATGAATGGGTTGAATGAATTTAAAAAAGTGACAAAATATACTTTTAGAAGGAGAGGCTTGTAATGCGACGTTGTGGCAACACAAAATGAATCAGTCAGTTGTAGTTGTATAGGGTGTCACAAATTTTGTTTCTTTTTTACTTAATTAGTTTGTTTGAAAAATATTTTTTTTTTAATTATGTATTTCTTTTAACGTTAATATTTTTTTATGATTATTGGCAAGTAGCTTTAGACGTGTGTTCAATTATTGTCACCGTTGTAACGACACGCTGTATATATAATCGGAATCTCGGAAACGGCTCCAGCGATTTTCATGATATTTAGTATGTACGTAGGTTAGTATGTATTCGGGGGCGAAAAATCGATCTCGCTAGGTTTCATTTTTAGAAAACGTCCTTTTATCCCTGTTGTCAGGGAATGAAAAATATCATTCGAATATGATGGTTATTGATTATTAAAGTATATATTTATGTTCGGTGTTTGCAGAGTATGTTTNATGTATAATTTATTAATATATATTTATATTTTGACTTATTAGTTTCTGTTATCTCTTCAGTGTACACCCTTACCCGTTACTGTTGTTTTTATTATCTCCTTTTACTAGGTTGCCTGAAAGAAATCGCTTTTAGCGATCAGACCGTCTATTGTCCAGTTTTGCATTATTTTTGTTGATTATTCAATATCAGTTGTTAGTGAACAATAAAGTATATTTCATTCATACTTTCATAAATGACAAAAAGAAAAAGTATAGGCAACGTGATTGTTGCCTATATCAATCCTTTTTGATAATAATGTATCTTGAAGTCTGTTTCTGACGAACTGAACTAAAAAGAGGGCAGCAATGAAATAAAAGCATTAACTTCACTTAAATAACACTTTTTATATTCATTAAAAACGATCTTACCCAACGTCTAACGTTATTTATTAAACAAAACTATATGGTATGTATAAGGATACTCATCTTTAATTAGAAGTTGTGTCTGCCTAGAACGTGTTCCAAGCGAAAAGTAATCCCTCGGCAGCCTTTCAATCATATTTTTAAAAATCGGTAATGTCCCACGTAGTGTCGGTAGAATAAAATAATTATATTGTAAATCAAAAAATTATTTCTTAATTCAACCATATTACATTTTATAAACCTTGTATTTTACAAAACATAAAGTGTTTACTTTGCTATAACAAAATTATATGTTGTTAATTTATTTATAATGTAAGTGTAAAATGTTTCTATGGTTTGCTAAATTCATAAACACTATTTTAGAAATAATTTTCTACGTATATCTGTTAAGTGCATGGAGAAGCGAACACGTAGTCTGGAGTTAAGCACTATTGAGCGTCTATGCGACGTGCTTAAAAGATGTTTGGGCTAGACACTCTGCGCTAGTTATGAGATCGAAGCCGCATTCGCTGAAGGATGAAAAAAGCCTTATATTCGGTCAATGAAAAACCGATTAGGAGGTGTAATAAGAATCAGGCCCCTTCCATTGCCCACGTGTGTACAACTTATGATAAAATATTTATTTATTACACAAAACAAAGTAATTTCGTAAGTGATATAAACCGCGTTATAATTTCGATATTTTAAGTTTAATATTGAGTGCAGAGAATAGAATTAAAAATTAAGGTTATAATAAATTTCTATCAAAGTGCGACATCTATCGATCAATACTTTTAATTTTCGACGATTACCGGCAGATAATAAACGTTATTTATTATATAAAAAAGCGAAAATTAGAGAAAAATGTAGGAAATTTGCCTCCCCAGAAACGAAAGGGTAAAAAAGTTAATTAATTATAAACAATTTTATCATTAGATAAATTATATTTTAGACCTTGGGCGAGTAATTAAGTTTCACTGATAACTGAAACTTTGTCATCTACGGATGTATTATACAATGTCAAACTTTATCCTGAATATTCGTAGTTGTTTAAACTGTCGTAATTCAATTACGGCGGTTTGCAGTTCTGGGTTAAGAAGGGAGTGGAGTTTCTCTGAGGAATTTTTTGGATTATACCCAAAGCTTACGTATTATTGACACCATCTTAAGGATTTACTACTCCACCAGTCTGTTTCGTGTCCTGTATTAATTCCATAAGTAATAAGTAATTAAAAGACTGTTGTCAGACGTTTAAGTACCAGTGCTGAGTTCATTATTCTATAAATTAGAAGAGTTCTTTTTGAGTGTCGTAAAAACTTAGATACGTAATAATAATGTCAATTTATTTAAAATAGGTACGTTGAATAAAAATAAGTCAAATATGTTTAATTTAAAATAATAGTTATTTCAGTATAAATATTTCAGGACACATTTTTACACGTTTTCTAGGCCCATATTATGCAGCGTTTATACTATGGCTACTAGATAACTGATAAACAAACTTTTCTTTTTTTTTTAATAAATACATTTTTATATAATATATAAACACGTAAACACAAGAAAAACACTATGTTCATCACACAATATTTTTCTAGTATTATGGATCGTACGCACACCCTCTGCCGCAAGAGCAGTTTGACCCATTGGGTCAAATGGTTCGTCTATAATATATATAATATAGAATAAGTCAAAATAAAAAAACACATTTAAATTTCATTCTTAAACTAACATCAGTGCAACAGTAGCCGTTATTTATTTACGGGAAATGAATAAAATTGTTTGTTCATTCACATGATAACTTTTATTTGGCAAAGTGCCAGATAGAAGTTTCAAACAAGAAAACAGTTACATAGCACAAATAATACTTTGCTAGTGTAAATCACTTCATTAAGTGCAAGTCATTGGCGCCTACGCTGTAAGCGGTAAAATTGCATATTTAAGCATTTGATACGGAAACTTATAACATTTTGGAAATCAGGTTGCAAGCATTGCTTCAAATGCTAAATAACAATGTAGAAAGAAGGCGTTAAGATTTTCGTCGCTGTGGCTATCAGCCGCTTAGCTCAGTGGCTAGAGCGTCAGGCCGCGAATGCCGAAGACGTGGGTTCGATTCCCACAGCGGCGACAATCTTTTCGTACTTTTTCTACATGTTTGAATGTTCAATCTTAAGTGCAGAGATTAGCACTATAAAAAACTTTAAAAAATTTACTTAAAGTACTGTTATACTAAAGTTTTCTGGGTGGTTATAAAAAAAATAACCACGAAGGCTAAGGCGGGAGCACAGCTTACGCCTTAACCTTCTAACCTCACCTATCCGAGTCAGATCGCTCTGTGTGGGATCTGTCACTCTTTAATTTAAAAGAAAATTAATCTGCGCCCACTTCCTATATTTGTCATGTTGACGGTACTGTGTATACAGTTTTTGAAGTCAAATTGGTAAAATGGTGAACTTTCTTAGTAATAATTACGTTTTAAATAAATTTTATTTTTCTCGAAAACTATAAGCGATCGTCAAGTTCTGCTTGGTGAGTATTTTATTAATGATTTTTCTGTACCTACGAGTAATAAAATTTTTTTTACGTCGAAAAACACCCGGAAACTAATACCGCAGAATTTTGTGCTTGTAATCTA